CTTGACCATCCCAGGCTCTGAAGAAGGCGAAACGGTCGAATAGCTATTTTCGCCAACAAATTTTGCCATACCAACCTCGTGTTTTGCTCATTGAAGAAAAACAGTGAGTGGTTGGTCTGTTGATTACGCACACTGAACAAATGCCGGCCTATTTTGAGAGTGATTATGGAAGAATCGGTTTTCCATTGAAAACCCAACAAACGATGTTCATAAGAAGTGGGTTACTGTAGGGAGCGCTTCTCAGAACCATTTGTTCTTGACGAGACGGATATCTCCGAATGCGGCGGCTATGTGTACTTGAATGGAAAAGTTAACATATAGACGTAACCGATATTTCTGAGAAACAGATTCGTTAATGAAATCTCATTTGTTCCAGTAGAACAAATGATTCCAAATACTCTAAATTTGTTTCTAGACAGAAATTTCCAACACATGGCAAATTCTTCTCACAGCTGATCAGAAACAAGTGAGTGGCTAAGTAAGCTTCCAAAAACGACAAATTTATAGTGAGGCCTGCAATGCACAGCTGTTCAATGCCGCAGCAAGAAGACCGCGACCAGACTTGTGGTCAGAGTTCATCCCCAAGATGCCAGAAGAAAAATATAATGTTCTGAAAGTTCTGCGAGAGAGTAAACAGCACTAGAAAGCTATATCAAACGACAGGATCGAATGGTGGGTTTGCTGAACTTGAGAAGAATGATGACTCGTTCAGCTGGATGACAGGTGAACAAGTTGTGCCCTTGCGAATTTTCTTTACACAAGCTGTCTCCATGTTTTGTACATATCATTGCACCTTTTACATTTGGTTTGTTACAGCAGTCACCAGCTTTTGTGGATCCAAAAGAGTCTTTCCTAAACATCTGCGACAACGATTTTCTCAGCGCGAATGGATGATGCTGAGTTGGAATGGTTCGGAGTAGAACCAGCATTCAGATGTGCATTCCGCGGCAAGTGTAACCAGTACGCTTAACGGGCTCTTCACTAATAAAGGTATAGAAGATAGAGGGAAGGAGTAAATACTTGAGCAAGAGTAAGCTATGGCAGTGGTGCTGGACCAAGAACTGGACATCGAATTACGATTACTACGCAACGATTTCTCTCTATATTGCAATTAGAATAGGATGTTCTCTCAACTGAAAAGGTGCAAAGAATGCTATGTGTTCAACATCTGGAGGACTGTCTCGGGAGGAAATGGACGCGTGTGGCGCAATGGTCGGAGGGCCCTGCAACACACACGTGGAATCGATCCCTGCTCCCATGCCCACCAAGCCTTCCATTCCTCCGGGTTCGGCAAATTGGGGTTTTCTGGGAGGATAGCAGCACTGGCTCGATATATCGGTAGGACACCGTGAGTCATTGTAAAAGGCAGATATGCATTCAATCACCTCCAAACGATGCTTAATGAAATTGAATGCATGGCGCATCTTTCAGGGATTGATCAATGACCAAAGCTTTACCCTTTTTATATCTGGAAGAGCATAATGCATAGATCCATATGTATTTGCAGTTCCACCAAGTCGAATGCTGAAGTAACCTTAAACGGAAAATTCGACGGTCTACCAAACAAATCGCATATACCACTTTCAACAAAACAATGAAGAACCTTTTACGAAAGTCCCAGCAGTCAAACTAGGTTCGATGACGTGCGAAAAAAGTCAAGGGTCACCGTGCTAAGAGGTGTAACTCTCGCCAACATCGCGCGCTCGCTATTAGAGCTGGGGGGTCCAAAATTTCCACGAACACAACCCATTTCCTAAAGAAACCGTACCGCATACAACCTACTCCAGCTTCAAAACTGACTCCGTAACAAAGATAGACATAGAACAGTAAATAGGAACAGGTGACGAGAAGGAGAGACATTACCACTGCCGCCGTTGTTCTCTCGAGCGTGCTTTAGGCATCAAGAGCCCCACAGTCAAGTGGACATTAACTTTCGCATATCTTCGAACATTATTCTCAATATCGTTAAAAATCCTCGCAAAAAAGATCGTCTTCAACCTCACATCCGTCCAAAAACGTGACGTGCAACCTGTTCGAGGGCCGATAAAATCAAATACCCGATTGTGTACCATCAACTCGCATCGTCGGCTATGAAAACATCAAACGAGTCAAAATGCTAGCCAAATAACGCTTCTTGTCAACCTTGTGTTAGCTTGTATTTTATTGATGCATTGATTATTGTCGAGGTTAAGTGAAGGCCAGCTTGAAAGGTTAGACTATCAGCTAATGATAAGGGTAGAGAATTTGTGGTAATTGCTCGTAAGTTAAAGTTTGAAGAAACGGTAAAACGTTTTGAAGACGCCTTGTTCTATCGCTCACCATTTCAAGAGGAATTCATAAGTCAATATAGAAAATTGAAGACGGTGTGTGGGTTACAATGGTAAGCGCGACAGGTTTAAAAGCGTCAGTTATTATAAAGGATAAAGGATAAAGCTCTCGGCGTTGATCAATCCCTGAAGGTTGTGCCATGCATTCGACTTCATTAGGCATCGATGGTGGTGATTGAATGCATATATGGCCTTTACAACGACTCGCGGTGGCCTACTGATGTATCGAGCCAGTGCTACTATCCTCCCGGACAAGTCTGGTAGCAATTTACCGACCCCGGAGTGGTGAAAGGCTAGGTGAGCCATGGGCGCGAGGATCAGTTCCACGTGTGTGTTGCGGGGCGCCTCTGACCATTGCGCCACACGCGTCCGTTGAGCTATTATACAGCCTACAGTTGAATTATCAACGTCTCCTATTCCATACTCACTTATCAAAACTCGCAAAGTAGTATCCACTTATGATCTGGCGTCTATCGACTCCTCGACGTTCAATGTTTGACTTATCATCAACTGTTTAAATGGTCCCGAGGATAGAATAGCTTGGTTTACAAACCTAATTTTCACCGAGTTGCTAAAATACATCCCAACCCATCTCGCGGAACCCCCAAATGTTCCCGAATCGTCTACGTAACGCGGATGCGAACAGCGCCTATATGATGAAGTCTTTCGACGTTGCCGCCCTTTATACAAATGTGCCGCATTGCAAGCCACCCTAGAACTTCTTATGCAACACAAAGGAGCAATGAAACCATGCCTCCTCGACTCAGAAGCTCATGGTCCTCCTAAAGGAGTGCCTAAACTGCTCAATCCTCAGAAAGGTGTGGGAATATTACGCACAAATGAAGAGATTAGCAATGGGATAGCCTCTGGCACCAAGCCTAGCCGTTACTCTTACTTGGATATTTTGATGGCTCGTCTTCACTGGTTGTGTGGACTACAACATAAATTCCAATTATTCGGAGTTTTGCTGGCTTAGCCATTGTGGTTCCCCGGAGTCCTGAGGTCTGCCTGGCCAAAGTCTGCCCCAGGTCGCCACCACCACAGACAGTCGCCACCCTTGTGGATCACAACGGTGTTTGCCATTATGCGGCTAACTTGGTACCCAAACGGTGGTGGATCCTGGTATTGGTTTACTTTTAGTCGGGTTTCCTCATGGAAACGCCGGTCTTCCTCAGCTTGGGAGACCCTGCCGGGGTGACGAATCTCTCTATTGTACATCGCAAGGCGACGCCCAGCAACACCTCCCAGCCACGACGAGGCGGTAAACCGTTGGGAAGTGTTATTACTCCTAAGCCAAGAAAATTTAAAACTTAAAGTGTGCCTTCGACTTTTTGGAAACATGAGGGCTAAACAGGACTCTTGGTTAATCTCCGACTAGAACACCACTACAGAAAAACAGAGGAGGAGCTGAAGGAGAGTTAGGCGTCTTCGTATGCCGTGATCGCACACACTGCGCTGACGTCGGTTCTTCCGACGCCTCGCGATTTGTTCTCATGAGTGTATTCTTCTGGCTCCATTCATGTTGCCGAAAACTTGGAAAGAGCAAAGCTTAGTGGAAAGTAGTCCAGCTGTTGTAGGAATGCCCCCATCTATTATGAAGCTAGCACGAGGTTGTTATCAAGCTTTATTCCGAAGACATTGCACAAGAAATGTTCATGGAAATTGCTCCTCCTTATATGAAACATCTATGGAGTCACTATAACTGGCATCAGAAGGAAAGAAACTGCCGCTCTGGACAAGTAATGCGAGAAAAGAGTGGCTTCTGCGAAGAATGGAACGAGAGCAGTTATTTGGTCACCTGCTTATGATACCATACGAAGGCTTCGTGCTCAAGTGAGATCGGGCTGAGCCCCATGATGACCACAAGCCGATTCGCGAATGCGATGCCCAGCTGATAGACTTGATTTGGTCAAACCAACAGACTTCTGATGCCTCAGAAGCTGATCAATCGGTTATTGGTTGGTACCATCGGATTTTGTCTACGTTACCAATCAGTTGTCTCTTTACACATCGAGTTATTTGGTCCGCACGTGGCGAGATTTTTCAAAGACCACCTGGTCATTGTTGTGGGCTTTCTTTTACTTTTTCTTCTAATGTAAGTATTTATCCTGTGGCTGTTGGTAAGATGCTTTTTTGTTTCAAATCCCAAATCCGACTTTCCCGTAACCTCGGTAAGACTAATCAATGTATATTCTTTCTTTTGCAAGCTTACACGAGGTTGATATATAATCTTTATTCGGCTGACGTTTCGATGGTTTCATCTTTATCAGAGCCGATGATCTGAGTCGATGGTCATCTTTTATGCCATGAACATGTTGTCTCTCACCAGATCACTTGCTGGAACACTTGAAATCTTTGTGAAGAATTCTGTCACTGATGGATGGTGACGTCATAATTCTGGATTAGAAAAGTGTTTGTCATTGGAGTATTCCCTTGTGTTTCTTTTGACTCATTAGTTAAATTTTGTTAATGTTGAAATATAATAAAATATATCCCTCTAGTTCATGCTTTTCTCACTCATTCTCAGCGAATACGAAGGAGAAAAATTGATATAAATGAGAGATGGTGATTCCTTAGGCCCTTTCTTGGTGGCTACAGTTATTCTACGTTTCTGTGAGCATGCTGATTTCTGAGCATCCGAGATTTCACCTGTATTCACCTTGATTTCAGGATATGGTGGACTCTCCAGTTGAGAGAGATCTGGATCACGATAGCAAGAGTCGAGGCATACGTCCGAATTTCGCTGAGGATGGTAGGTAATTGGATCTTAACCTTGCTGCACCTTCGCATACCGATATGCTTGGTGCCCTGAATTCTTTCGAACGAACCTTTCTGTCTTAGAAGAACGATGAGTATCGTTTTAGCCTAGGCTCCTGATTAAAGTCCTGCTTCAGTATATGGCGATAAGAAATTAACACAAGCTGAGGACGTTGAGTACAGCGAATCTTCGTTAGCTCAGCGGCGATCTGCTCTTTTGGTGAAGCTCAAGCAGCTTAAGGATTCACATGGAACAACAACCGCTGATGTACCTGTTAATCGAGCAGAAAGTGTAGATATGGTAAGGTTTACTTAAACGTAGTACTTTAGTACTTAAGTGCAGTACTTCACAGTTCTTTATTCTTTTTCCATTGAATTTAAAGATTACTGAAATTTGCCGAGGAACTTTCAATTCGTGATCTTGTCCTCCCTTACGTTGTGCTGTTCTATTGGGCGTCGTCGTTTCGAAGTCCTGGTGTTTTATTTATCTTTCTGATTGTGTATGACTGGTATGGGACTGTCGACGAATTTCCTAATAGCGGCCGTTTTTTGAGTGGTATGATTGATTCTCCAAAAAACGATAATTTCAAAACTCCGGAACGCAGGTGTCTGCGGTGGTGATTGGACCCGCAATCATCCTTTCCGGGGCTAAAGCGTTTACTACCACACCATGCCATTACAGCCTCAGCTTAACAGGGGTTCAGTGCTGATCTGTGTTCACCAGATCAATCCCGTTGACGGGTCATTGCTGATAGCGACTATAGGTCAATAATACAGCTGAGAGGAAGGCGAAACGAAGGACTCGCATGGTGTGGCTGTGAACGCATTAGCTCCCGGAAAGGGTAATAACGTGTTCGATCCCTACCGCAGACACCTGCGGTCCGGGATTCTGTAAATGTCTCAACACCATTGTGGTTGTATCACACATAACACCCTGTCAAGGAAAATTGTAATAGGCAGCAATGAAAAGTTAACGCGGCCGATAATATTATTTAATGAAATGAAGTTTTAGAACGACTGCGACATTGAATTCGAGTACAGTGATAGTGATAGTCTTCTCAGTGAGCTGGCTGAATTGTACACATATTCTGAACTCGATGACTTTGCTAGTAACATTCAGTGCTGGAAAGTGTATGCGGACAATAACGAGGCAAGTTTCCGTAGCGAATGCAAAATGTGGGTTCTTTCTGTTTATTAAATGATCTTTTCTATTGGAACTGGGTTTTCTGTCTTTTAGTATATGTATTACATTCATTTTTGTCCAGTACTGCACTGTTTACGAATTCTCCGTGTCCAGAGTATTTAGTGTTGAGAACATAGCGAACAGAATCGCTTTAGGGGTCTAGTGACTTTCTAAAATATTGTCTGGTATAAAATTTGACTAAGATTTAAGTTTTTAAATGCTTTGAGGGAAAACATTTTTAACTTCAAGAAAACCGGGCTTTCATCTTTGTAAATTGTGACTTCGGATGCGGATGAGGTTAACTTACTTCTTATAGACTCATAAATGTGTTAACTGCTTGGCCCATTCTCAAGTCATATTGTAGTCTCTTGCAGGAACTTTTTCAAAACCACGCTTTTCAGATTCTACCTCCATTCCACTTTTCATCATTACCAATGGCAAAGAGGATGTTCATCATGCAAGATCTCTGTGCGAGGATGGAGAGTGCCGAAGCGGATGTGCGACTTGCAAGTGCCCGTATAATGCTTTACATCCTTCAGGTGAATGTCTTAGTTATCTTTTCCTCTTAACTTTTGTTTACTGCTTGTTCCTTTTTCTTGGCAGAGCATGATATGAAGCACAACTACAAGAATACTGAGATGTGAGCAGAACTCTGAGGAAAAGACGAAGTAGGGGTTTCGTTAGGTGTGGTGGATAGCACGCGAGGCATCGGCAAAAGTAATTGCGGGTTCGAAACCTAGTTGAAGTTCTAAGTTCTGCTCAAACCTCGGCATCCTTATGCTTGTACCTTTTAGTTATTTTTCAAAATTCTCTCTACTGCTTGAAAGACTATTGCTGTACTTATTATTGCTATTGTTACCATCATTACCATTGCTATCTTTCCTGAGGGTTTACCATTGTCATGGCCAAGTGTTCATGGGCATGGAGTTGCTAAGAAGAAGTTCAGTATTTCCATTCACAAGCACAGCTAAGAGAAAACCGATGCGAGGAATCATCGCGTCAATAGCTTTGGTTTCACTCCAGTTGCTTTTATTTAGACCTTGTTCATTTTTTAAATAATTTTTCGGGAGTTTTTTTTCCAGCTGAAATGTTTTTTGGAATGGTTTCTGTTTTTAGGGTGCCTATCTTGACTACACTGATGAGGAAGAGGTCGAAGCTGGTATGTTGTTAGCAGCAACTTTTGACAAAGGCACAGGTGACCATGAAGTGGATTGTTTACATAGTGCATTCCTCAACGCTCACTTGGCTTATAAAGCTGGCGCTTATCAGGTTAGCATAACAAGAATTGTTTCGTTGAGGATCCATTGTAATACATACTTTTGTGACCAAATATTACGTAAAAGCATGTGTTATGTCTGTCATATATTGCCAAGAATCTTGTATGCACAGGCTCTCAGTACCTTGCTGATGACTGAGATATGTGAACCCTTTGATAGTGGCCTTGGTGCAACGACCGATGGGGGTCGGGAATCGAAAGCTAGTTCCCGAGGTAGTCGTTGCCCAAGCAGTGCTGACTTAGCAGAAGGTGGTCAGTCATCTTTTTATGGTTAATTAGCAGAACTTTGCTATCAAGCTACACACCAAAGTTTCATTCTGCAGTGTTCTTTATGATAATTTGGTTCAGATCGACGAAACCGTCGGGCTGCGACAATAGCGGACAACGAAGCTATAAGAACGGTGTTATCCGCGCTTTACCATATGGTGGAGTTAATTCGCAATCACGACCTCACTGAAAAGCTGTCAAATGAAGACCCTAGTTTACCACATAAAAGGAGTGCATTTCTAGCTGAACTGAGTGAGTTCCAGTGCATAGTTCCTTTAACTTTGATAAGATTTGGCTAATTTAGGTGAACCGTTAGACCATGTCGGTCAGCCTTTGCTTCTAGTACTTTTCGAAATGCTCCCTCCATTTTACACTGGTTCATCACCGCATTTCCCTATTAAAAAGGTGAATATTTTATGGATTTCGTTGTATAAACGCCTGTCGCTTGTGTTCAAACATAATCTGCGAACTTACTCAAGTTATCTTTGTTCGTCTTTTTTCAAGTCGTCTTTATGCATATCTTCATTTACTGTTTATGGAAATGCAAGTCAACGCCGAAATGACACTATTTTGTAATTTGTTTTAAAAGAATTTAGGTTCTGCTTCTGATCTGGAAAATCTTGTTGGCAACGTTGGGTGGTTGGCGTGAACTAGATACCCAGAAGGCCGCAAAGAGAGCAGCGCTAGCACTTCCAGTGATGGAAAATACTATTGCAGTTGCTTCTTCATTACCAGCCACTGTTATCAACGACAATGAAAGTGGTTGAGTTTTTCAATGGATAGTTTATAGCACATTGAACAAAACGTAGAGAAACTCATTATGCAAATTTCAGACATTTTTAAACGGCACAATTCTTTTATTGCAAAGGTTCTCTACACATTTTTAGAAGATGCGGGTGTTTTTATTCCAAGTCACTCTTTACGCTGCATTATTCCAAAACGATGGGGCGGATAATTCGGTGGTAGTAATGTCGGTCATCGCGAGCGTGGTGCTAGTTCGATTCCGTTCCGTGCCAACCAAGCCTCTCATCTCTCCGGGGTCGGGAAATCGGCACCGAACTTCCGGGAAAAAATCGCTCTCTGCAATCCAATTGGGAACGCTCCAGCCCGGCTATTTCATCTCGGAGAGAATGGACTGGACCAGCATTCTACGGCATTCAAGTTGAAATGATCCTCAAGCAGCAGCCGAAACCACGTGTAAAAGTCGGAAGGTTTCCATGGATAACGGGTGCGAGGAAACGAATCGAATGTGAGAAGTGCTGGGAATCGCATAGTAGACGTGAACACGGGTCATATAAAAATAAAGGATAGAAAGATAAAAAAGTTTCTAAAATATCTTTTCCTTTCAGTATAGTTAAACGCAAAATTCTAGGAATCTGTTCACCAAACTTCTCCAGGTGTTACGAGATCACGGGATATCGATCCGGCACATGCCCATAGCTTTTCTGCTACCCTGTGAACAGTTCATCGTTGTTCCATTTCACATAATGTCTATCCCGGTATTAGCGTTGGTTTCCCGGTATCTCAAATTATCGAGGCATTACGTCTACTTCTGCTTCCGTACAATGAAAGTGCGAGAATATAACCTCGATTAATGTTGAAAAAAAGTTGGTTAAAGTGCGCTCGAATCTGAAGAAGTAGTTTAAACTGGCAAAATGCACTCCGAATTGCCAAATTCAAAACTTTTGAATTGATCTCATTGAGGTGATGCAAGATTGCTATGAATTGTCGTTGTTGTTGTTGGTCGATGGATGAAGTCTCGACGATTTCGCCTTCCTCAGAGCCATTCCACTCGTAACAGCACAGTTCTGAGGAAGGCGAAATCGCCGAAGCGTCAGCCATCTAAACTTTTGATATATTTGTAGAGAAGTACTTTAATTATTTTTCTCATTATATGACATGATATCACATGTATCATTCTTTGCGGATCCCAGCAATTCTTGCATTGGATTTATTTCTTCGCCTCCACAATCCGCGAACAGCTTCGAATTTTTTGCATACAACTTCGGCTGCTATCTAAGAATTTTCGTCTTTTTCATGAATGTACTTGAATAGCGATTTAGTCGACTCTTCTGGTATCCTGGAAGTAGTCGTGCTAGGCCAGTACCAATTTCTCGACCACGGAGGCATGAGAGATTTGATGATTGATGGCACTGGTGCCGGATGGGACCAGCGTCTGGATAATTTGGGAGGTACGTGTGACCACTACTACTGCAGTACCTATTGCCGAGCTCTAAGGAAATAAGTATATACGTATATATACATATATGCATATATATGTTTACATCCATGTATATGGCATACATAGAAAATTACGGTGAAAAAACCCTAAAACCTCTATTTTATAGAGGTTGTGTTGTATTATCGTGAGCAACCTACTACAAGCCGCTATTTACGTAGGAACAGTTAGTGATGGTCTTAACAAAATATCTGTGTTCAGTGCATTGGTGAATGGAACGTATAGTAATTGATTTGGTGCTACGATGTAAGGTTTTCGATCTAGTTCATATTTATTAGTTTTAACTTTCACCAGTACCATGACTGGTGCATCTCTGTGATTTCCACGGTTACACAGAACTGTCAACCCAATGCTTTTATCTTGAGAATTAATTGGGAATAATTCTTCATCGTACCGGACTTTAGGTGCAAGGATGGCAGCTCGACGTATTGTTCCGATTGGACGCGTAATGGCTCGGCAGTTGGCTTACGCTGGTAGCGATGAAGTCAAAGACGAAGAATTCGACATAGGTGATTGATTACCTTTCGTATTACGTCAGGTATCATTTGTTTTTTTTAAACAAATGGCTTAAGGTGCGATTGCTTGTGAAGATTCTATGCCGGACTCTAATGGAACAACAAAACGACGTAAGATCATTAATATATTTTATACTTGAATACGTGAATGACCAGTCTCCAATAGTGGTGCGGACTCCAGCGTAATTTTCCTTCGTTTCTCTCTCGCTCAATTGTTGTCCATGGTGGTGGTCTGCTTCAAACATGTTGACATCTGCGCATCTGCGAAGACTATTCCGTAATCCTGGAAGCGTTGCCAACTGTGAGTGCAGGTGGTTGATTCACGAACACCTCCGCCTATCGCTTAGGTGGTCTTCCAAGAGGACGCTTGCATTCTGTTTGATCACCAGTTCTTCTTATTAAATGACCAGCCCGTTTTTGTTTCACTATCGAACCCAGATCCCAATGGGCGCTGTTTCGAACACCTGAGCTGCGCTTTTCTTCTAGACGCTGTGAGTGCCGGTTTCATTCTAGAAAATATCGTTCAAACTATCTGTTTATGGTGTGCAGAATTCTTGACGTGGTTGAAGTATCATCCCACTTCTCTTCTGCAGAACGGATCGCTTGGAGGTCGCTGAGTTAAAAAGGTGAGCGTGGAGTTTTGGGATCGTTAGTTGGTCGGAGACTTCTTTGAGAGGGCGGAATGGGATCGATGTTGCTTTCCTTCTGTCTACTTCCTCCATTTTGTTCTGCATGTTCATTGAGCGTCCTGGATACACGTACAAGGACGTTTCTGTAGTCAGAGAACCATCCAGTTCGATAATTTATACTGTTTTTAGTTGCTAAAAATCCTAAAATGTATTACTGTAATGTAGCTTGGAGTTGTTATTTATATTGTACCATTGAAGCAGGTGCGGAATTACGGCATGTCTGTAGTGGAGAGCGCACTCCACGAGCCGGTTCTCCTGCTGCTCATGAACCACCGAAGCAATGTTTGCCGTGGCGTAGTAAGGTGTCGAAACAGGAACTTGAAACTTTTCTTCAGCAGGAAAGGTGTCACTTCATTTTGAACTTGTTCTTTCGAAAGTTATTGTTTGATTTTGCATAGGGTGGCTTCCTTGTAATTTCGCTTTTCATTTTAAGGCAGAAGTTTTTCTCTTATCAACTACCTGGTGATATCAGTACAATGTTCGCGTTACCAATACCTATTCATCGTAGTGTTGAGACGTTGCGAAAACATCTTTACACCTCGTTAGGTGAAATTCAGGTTCATGTACACGGTTCTGTTATAATTCAGTCGTTTAATCATGGGGAATGTTATTAAAACATAACGGACTATGGTGTTTTTTAACAACTGCCTATAATTTTACAATAAGTTGTTGAGGAGTTTAAAACCCGATTGCCTACGAGAAGAGACTTTGCCATATAGATCTAAGTATGTTCTTGGATCTGCTTTAAGTTCGAACTCATACAAAATTGAAAGCGAAATTGTAGTTTGTGAAGGTTGGGAAAGCACAGGAGCAACAAGTATCGAACCGTTTTGCTGAGACAATGTCTCTTCCTTTTCTACAAAATTCTGACTGTTAATTCGTCACATTATTCAAAATACGAGTCTCAGCAAGAAATGCGAAGGAAAATGTTTCATTATGTACAAAAAATAGGACTCTTGGTAGAATTGATAAACTAGCATTTTAGAGCCAAAAATTTGTAGTTTCTATTGAGTTTTATCCTCATTAATAAAATGTTAACCTTTATTGGCTGCCTATTTTTTCATCACGGTATTTTGTGTTACAAAATCACGGGAATGCTGTGATATAAGTAAAACTCAGGGCCTCAGGTAGGCTTAAAACCAACGATTGTGCTCACTATAAGTGCTATCCACCATATGAGTTGAGACCTTTGATTTGCGCTTCTCTAAGCCATATTATTACTATATCGGTGGTATCAGCAAATAATAACAATCAACGGGAGTGATCTGAGATCAGCTTAACTGGATTCGATGTCGACTTGTGCTGTTTCCCAGGTCCATTCCCGTTGAGGGGTAATTGCTGGTAGCATCGACGTAGTAAAAATGTGGGTAAGAGAAAGGCAAAAAAGGCATCGGTTGGTATGGATAGTGCGTGAACCTCCGGGAAGGAAATCGTTGGTTTGGAGCCCATTTGAGATTCCGAGTTTTGCTTGTATCTTAGCATTATTGTGGTTCATTTAGTAATGTTGGCTATGAGCTGAAGTATGTTTGTTTAAAATTGAAAGACGTAATTGTTTTCGGTGACATGAAATTGTGTACAATGCACATCGTCCGTTATACGTTAATTGAAATAAGTGTTTTGTGGTATAGTGTAGAGCTTGCGTTTTTGGTGCCAGAACAAACACGGAGCATAATACTGTGGTTCATTTAAATATTTGAGCAACTTTTCAGGCAGCTCAGGATGAGGACTATAATCGCTACATTTTCTCGAGAAAGGAGGTGATTGAAATGAATAATGTTGAAGAACTTTATCGCCTACTTTTGCCAAATCTCTGTCAATATGTGGTAGCTCTGCTCAAAATATTGTTGGCTGCAGCACCATCCAACAAGGTATGAACTGAAATTGATTTTGAAAAGATTTTATGTTGGCTTTTCCATTTTAGGCAAAGAATGATGCATTGAACATTTTGATTGATGTGTTAACACCAGAAACAGAAGGTTGCGATATCCTTTCGAATTCGATTAGCCTTGATCATTCGACAAATAGTCCGCTGGAAGAAAGTGTGCGCCTTGCCATCGACATAAACAGGCATAAAGAAGTTTGTTTTAGCCTCCTTTTGCTTCTGTAGTTCATAGTTGAAAGACGCATAGTTACAGATTATGGTTAAAGCAACGTCTTCGATTTTATTACTTCTCATGAAGCATTTTCGACTGAATCATATATATCAGTATGAATATTTATGTCAGCATATCGTAAGTGATTTTCAGTGCACACCGCATTGCGATCCAGCAGTTATTTCAGCTTGCAGGTGTACGGTAATGGAATCCCACTAATGCTGAAATTCCTTGACCAAAATATGATTCGCTATGTTCAATCGCGTTATGAAATACATGCATATAATTATCCTCAAGCGCCGCTGCACTACGTTAGAAATCGAGGTGAGATACTTGAGTTTTTGATATAAAAATTTTCTAATATTTCTAGAAATCGCGCATAGCGCTGTAGTCGGAGACTCCCTGCAATGTACATGGGGTCGTTCTCCGCGCCCCAGGCTCACCATGCCCTCCATCCCTCCGAGGTCAGCAAATTGGTACCAGACTTCTCTTTGAGGATATCAGCACTGGTTCGATGCATTGGTAGGCTACCGCGTGTTATTGTAAGGGCTATATATGTATTCAGTCACCTCTATCGATGTTTATTGAGATCGAATGCATGGCGCATCCCTCAGATTGATCAACGCCGAGAGCTTTATCCTTTATCCTTTAGTAGAAATCGTCTGGGACTAACATCTATTAGTTCTCTTTAAGCCCATATTTGTCTTTTTTAGTACCGTGTAGTCCACACGTCTTTAATCTTGACTTGCCTTGTCGAAAGGCATCGAAGATTTTAGTTTAAAGTGCTAATTGTAACTGCATGTTGTAATTTTGATCACATGAATTATTATTATGAAAGTGGTGTGATGCCTCAGTTTGTCTTTAGATGAGTGGCCGATACTTAACTCAGACAACGTTGAAAGTGGAGATGTCGACAGAAGGGGTATTTACTTTATGTGGAGAAATTTGTTCTCATCAATAAATCTTATCAGGTACCGCTATGGAAGATCCTCTTCGATACAGCATTGTTATTCCTTCCTACACATGTATTTGTTCAGAGTTCTTAACAAGTTAGTGAAGGGGAAGCAGTCACGTGTGATGATGTTGATGGTGTTCAAGTCGGCCCCCATACTTAAGCGTTCTCTAAAAATCCGTTTGGTTCGTATTTCCCGTTTTCTGACTGTTATCATTTCTTTTCGAAATATAGGATGTATTTCTTTAGGGATTATTCCAATTCTTTGTGTTGAAAGCGTTGAAGATGCAGTCGCGATACCTAGGTCGCCAGTGGAGGAAAAGCAATATGGAAATAATGTCTGCGATTTACAATAAAGTTCGGCATCGTATGACTGATGACTGGGCGTTTGCCAATGAAATGCGAAAGTCATACGATTACCATAGTGAAGAAAGCGAATTAAAAGCTGCAGTTGAACGCTTCCACAGTCGGAGGTACTCGTGGTTACATCCACAGCTTAGCATTGGTGAGGATAACTACAACAGTTTGCATTATTTTACGAATTTTTTTTCCCTTATATGCTTATTCTTCACCACCAATGGTTTATTCCTACATAGGAGAGCACAGTGGGGGTATTTATGGGTGTCGAACTACATCTCGAGACCCTACCTTCATCCTCTGTCAACTTAGCCATGACGGTGTTCGTTCTTCCTATACTGAGAGCTTAGCTAGAAGTAAACTAGTGCGAAATTGTCATCGTGGAAAAACTCTAATGGCAAGGCGAATCTGACGGGGAAATCAACAACAACTCCGGTTTTTTCTATTCCATTATTATCACTGGACTGGTACATAGCAGACTGACTTGTCATTGTTTCTTAACATATTCGCAAAACGTGGTTTCTAACTTCAATCATGGTGAGATATTTGCAAAACTCCGGACCGCAGGTGTCTGCGTTGGGGAGCGAACGCGCCATTGTCCTTGCCGGGGAGTAACGCGTTCACCACCACACCATGGGTGTCCTCCGTTTCGCCTGTCTCTCAGCTAGTTCTATCGATCTTCTGCCATCAGCAATCATCCGTCCATTAAAAAGAGTAGATAATAAATAATAAGTTAAAACGTGAATTGTTTTCAATTTATCGTATTTTTTTGAGGTCCTCCCAATGGTTTACCGCCTTATCGTGGCTAGGAGCTGTTCTTGGGTGTCGGACTACGATGTACAGTGGGGAGATTCATCACCCTAGCAGGGTCTCCCAAACTGAGGAGTCCGTCGTTTCCATCAGGAAGCTTAGCTAAGAGTAAACTAATACCGGAATCCACCACCGTGCTGGTGTTAAACTAGTTGCTTGGTGGCAAATCTTCCTCTGATCCGCAAAGGCTGCGGCTGCCTGTGGTGGTGGCGACGACCTGGGGCAGACTTTGGCCAGCCTGACCTCGGGACTCCAGGGAACCATAACGGCTAAACCAGCAAAATTCCGAAAAAATGGAGATCATGCTCGGACCCACACAATTAGTGAGGATGGGCCATCCAATTATCCAAGTGTTCTTTGAGGCAGGACTCGTGTAGCGCGGTCGTTAGAGGTGCCCTGCAAAAAAAACGTGGTCGTTGGTTCGATTCCATGTCTCAGGTTCGCCAAATCATCTATTGCTTCGGCGTTGGCAGACTGATACAGGAGTTGTTGCGGAAGATGAAAAGATACTGACTCCATACGCGATTCTCGCAGGTGTTTGTATAGTCTACAGATACATTCATCCATTTCTACAATGCTCCATGAAGTCGAAGGAATGGCATATCTATCAGAGATTGATCAACACTGAACGCCTTACCCTTTTTTAAAATTATTCTTTGAGGACATTTATTTTACTGTGTAAGGCTTCTTTTGCTTTGTTATTTTAAACTGTAATCATTGGTAACCAACCCACTTAATGTTTTATGCTAGACATCAACCGAAAGCAGTTATTTTCTGCACCTATAGAGTGTGTATGTTGGAGCATTACATGTCATGAAGTTCGTTGTTGTTAACTTGGCTAGCAGAAAATTCAGGAAATGCTGAAATATAGTTGATGTTATCTTGTATTATGAACTAGTATAGACTAACAGCGCTATGGTTCGACTGTGGGCGGGGTTTTCCATAACGCACAAGAACTGGGAGTGTTTCGAACAAGTGGATAAATTTATATAACAACTCTATAGAATACGCCGAAGACATAAAACGTAGTAGTTGTGGATGAAATGCATAAGAATTGAGTCATAGAGCGAAAAGTGCAACAACAAGGGCGGAGTTGTTTGTTGACGGATGGAGGCGTTATGATTGTGACGTTGAATATATCCACTCATTAAAGAGTGCTCTTGAAATTTTTTTAAGGTGAAATGATTGATCTATTAAAGGGTGGAGTTACTGTTTCAGTCTTCATTTCCATCTTTCTCTTGGTCTGTTTTCTTCAGTGAGACTAATTCGTATGATTTTTTATACTGTTTTTTATTCAACTGTAAACAGTTTTTCATTTAACTGACATTTTTTGTATAGTGTTACTGATTATTATTACCTTTTTGGTTACACTACCCATGATTTTCTTCAGAAGTGAGCGATGCTCCAATGCCGGGTGATGATTACCTGAATCGAGTCAATCTTCGTGATTTTGAACCTGTTGATAATTGTCTGCATTCCGTTCTTGGGAAACAACCCGAGCTTGGGAAAAGGTCGGCTTTATTTATTTACAATTCCTTTAGTTTTGACTAAGGAGGGTCGGTATTGTTCGGGTGTACATTTGTTCATTAAAGTGCGTTCCCATTTCTGATAGATTTTTGGATGTAATTACTTAAAACAGAGTTTTACCTAGCTATTCTTTAGATTCAAAAGTAATTATCAGAAATGGATGAAAGATGAGGTGCTGAAACGGAACATTGATTGGAATCGTCTCTTAATGAACACGAGAGGAATCGCCTTGTCCAAAGACGTAACGTGCTAGATAACTATAAATGCATATATTTTTGTTATGGTATTGCAAACCAGCCTTGTCCTTCCTTTGTCACTCTAGATGGCGGGATAAACGCTGTACCCTATCACTGCGTTAAAAGTGCTATACAGTGGTAGCGATCAAGATTTAATCGATTCATGTACTCTAGAGCATGAATAGAACCGGTCATCATAAATTTTCTTTGTAGGTACAGATCTGGTTGATCATTGGCTATGAAAATAGTGAAATTATAGCAAATCGTATATGAATTGCTCGAGTCTTCTATGCAGATCTAGGCGCAATGGTCGGAGGCACCATACAAGACACTCACACCTAGGATCGATTCCTGCGTTTGTGGCCCACAAAGCATTCTATCTCTCTGGGTTGGGCAAACTGGTCCCAGACCTGTCTAGGATGATAGCAGCGCTAACTTGATGCATCAGTCGCCTGCCATAGGTTATTGTAGGTTATTGCGTAGGCCGAATATGCTTTGAATCACCTTCAGCGATGCTTGACAAAGTGGAGTGCATGGCGCCACCCTCAGGGATTGATCAACGTCAAGAGCGTTATCCTTCTTTTTAGCTTTTGTACAGATCGTAGTGTTTTTGTTTGTTTTGTTGCGAATGTTTCGAAAAACCCATTGGTGCGATCAGACTATCCACCTGCAACTGAGATCTCAGTGTGGCTAGTAATTGATCATTACATACTCGTTACCTTTCTTGTTGTATTTTACGTAGTTTACTTCGTTTTATTTGTGTGAATTTAGTTTGAGCAGTTTTTGTTATTAACTTGATTGAGGATAAAGACGTCATACGAACAATTCGTGATGTGGTAATGGTGGGTACTACCGTAGTTGCTTGTATTTCGCGCAGAGATGTGTTCTTTTTATGATTTATGGAACTGTGACTCAGATGTTTTGCTGCGCATATCAACGACTTCGGTTCCCATGTCTCAGTTCATTTTTGTGGCTCACAGAAAGGAGGTGGGATTGTGCTCTTTCAAATCTGTTACAATTTTCGTGAAAGTTTTTTGATAAGGAATATGGCGGTGGCGGGACGCGTGCCACCGGTGTTCAGTGTGAAGAAGACGCCACCGCTTGAAGCTGTTGTTGAGAATTACGCTAAAATCCTTTGGGATGACACCGTAACTGAAAGTGATCCGTTGGTGAGTGAATCGAGTTTTTTTCATTTCAGTCGAATTCTACAATGTGATTTCATTTGGTGAAGTATGAGAGTCGCATAAGCGGTTAAGACGGTGGACGGGGCTACTTGCGAAATAAATGCCGGTTTTTTTCTGCCACCACTACATATGTATATATACTTGATACTTGAACGGCCCGTCCTCACTGGTTGTGCGGAGACCAGCGCAACCACCATTTTTCCGAGATTTGCTGGTTAAGTTATTGTGGTTTCCTGGAATCTCGAGGTCAGCTTGGCCAAAGTCTGCCTCAGGTCTTCAACACCACAGGCAGTCGCAGCCCTTGTGGATCAGAGGGAGATTTCCCACCATGCGACTTTGATACCAGGACGGTGGTGGATCCTAGTATTGGTTTACTCTTAGCTAGGCTTCCTGATGGAAACGTCGGACTCTTTCTCAGCTTGGGAGACCCTGCCGGCGGGGCGAATCCCCCCGTTGTACATCGCAGTTCGACACCCAGGAACACCTCCCAGCC